CCCTCCCCCAACCGTCCGACCCCTCCTGCCGCCCCATCGCCGCGTAATGGCCGGCTGCCTGATGTTAATTCCATCTTCCATTGAGATATAGCCGGGCAAGATCAATGACCGCCGTTCCGCCGCAAAAAGAGGCGCAAGAACGGCCGCCGGCCCCCGCGTGTCGTCGCTGTGCAGTAAGGCGACCCGTCCGGACCTGGGTGTCTGGTCCGCCCGCTGATACGAGCTCGCCTAGGGGAGCACCGCCGACGGCGTGCTCTGTCATTTGTCGGCGGGTTTTTGCGATGACGTTCGGTGACGAGCAGTTTGAGTCAGGCATTCAGATGCCGCCCGGGTTTGATTGCTCGCCGGATTAGGCTGATTGACTAACTGTGGGGACCGTCCGTCCGTGCCCCTCCCCCTTCCCCTCCCCTCCCCTCCCCCTGCCCCGATTGTCGCTTGGTGCCTGCTGTCGCTGCTGTCTGCGGGGAGAGGGGGGCAATGCAGTGCAGCGGGCAAGGGCTTTCTCGTTCCCTCATGCTTCTACATCCGGTGTGAGCCTGACGGGCTGGCCAGCTCCTGTGGCTGCTCGTAGTTCGATCCCCAGTCGCGGGGCCCTTCAGCCGCAAGCTGACGCGGTCGCGGTTAAGGCCGCGGCACGGAACCCTGCTGGTGTGCGCTGGCGGCTCGACCTCGCCTGCGACTCCATTGTGTTCGGAGCGGAGAGCGTCTCCCGGTGGGTGGCCGCACCTGACCGCGAATGTCGGTCGCTCCTCGCGGTCGTGCCGGGCGACGCTGCAAAAACACGCCGCGGTAGCCGGCGAGGGTGTCTCATTGGGGTGACCCGGACACCTGTAAAAAGCGACAGGAATGAGGCCCGTGCTACTCCGTTGTTAATCGACTGAGAATGTCTCATCGACTTACGTAAATTGCCTCGGAAATTCTTGAATGACGAGATGGGATGGTTGATGGATGATGGCACCAACACCCCGCAATTAGCTTACGACATGTAGGAAATCAATGGTTTTCGCCTGGTGTGATCGGGAGAAGTATGGGCATCAGTGCCGTAACCAATCACAGAGGAGGAAACGAAGCAAAGCTGAAACGCTGTTCTGACGTTACCAATACAGACTAGCTGCTTATCCGCGACAAGCCGCTGGCGGGACGTGAGGTGAACGGGACGGCCTGACCCGCGCTGTTCGGACCCGGCCGATGGGGCTGGTGCGCGCTCGCCTGCGGTTCCTGGCAGCACGCGCTGACCCGCGGGTCCTGAAAGCGCCGCGCTGACCCGTTGTCCTGCCCACGCTAACCCGCGGGCGCTGTCCCGTCAGTCCTGCCGCGCGCTGACCCGCGGGTCCTGACAGCGCCGCGCTGTTCCGCAGGTCCTGCCCCGCGCTGACCCGTTGTCCTGCCGACGCTGACTCGCGGTTGCTGTCCCGTCGGTCCTGCCGCGCGCTGACCCGCAGGTCCTACCCTGCGCTTGATTGTCTCTCGGACCCCGGAGTTCTGACTGGGCCGTCCTCTTCTCAGGGGATGAGATCTTCTCTGTCAACGGCGAGCCGCTGCGAGGCTTCTCGCACGCCGAGGCCATCGCCACGTTCAAGAAGACCAAAACTGGTCAGATCGTGCTGCAGATCGGCCGCCGGGAGTCGGTGAAGAAAGTGTGAGTGGAGACGGACGCCGGGCGCGCCTGACGGCCCGGTAGCCGCTCGTAGCGCCACGACGACTGGTTCTGTTTCCTTACACTCAAAGCGTGTCGTGGCCTTTCCAAATGCCACTTTGCAGGCGATCGCGAAATTCGCGGTATGCGAAGGGCCTGCAGTTTGTATCGTTGTTTTCTTGCTCCCGAGAATGTGAAGGTGTGGTTGTTGTCTGATGTGTGTAATTTAATGTCTCCCTGGTGTTCCCGGTGCTCTTTCTTAGTTTGACAGGAAGAAAATGCTTCTGCCGCGTGTTGATGAATCGTTCATTTTGTCGGCGCTCTCGTCAGAGTGATTCGCCGTTTCTGCGGCTTTATATGTCGAGACTGGAGGTCGTCCTGTTCTGCCTGACCTAGCAGAGGGGCTGAACATCGAGCTTCGAAAAAACCATCTCGCTAACCTGTTCCCTTGAGGCGCCTGCTTGTGGCGGGAACTCGTCCTGAACAGGCTCTCGCTTTTTGTTCCAGGTCTGCCAAGTCCAAGTCGTGTGACGGGCTCGACAAGCTGGGCTAGATCTCGTCTGCTACCTGTCACCGAGTCGGCCCAGTGACTGGTGACCAGTGACCGCGCGCAGTGACCGGTGACCAATGATGATTCGCAGTGACCACCGCAGCCGCCACGAACGGTCAACGAAGCCGGGCTCTGGCTTTGGTGGGGCTGGGACTGGGAACAGGTGGACCGAAGCCGAGCCGTGCGCGCGTCGCTGGATTTCATGAGTGATGGCGGTAAACTTATTGGAAGAGGTCGATGTTTCGCATCACCGCTGGTTGGAGGTGCTGCAGTGTTGTGACTCGTGTTTTACCTTGAATCCGCATGGAGTCCAGTCCGTGAGCGATTAATATCGACATAGTTTAATCGGCACAATCTTGATAACAGTGCATAAACTCTAGTCTGGATCCCTTTTCCTAGCGTGGAATTCCGGAGCGTTGTTTAAGCAAGTACTCGAGCATACTTATTATATTTAAGAAGTACTGCCGTAGGCTCTTGCTGGATATTGAACTGTTGTAGGATGCTGGACCAGTGGCTTTTCAGAATATATGTGCGATTGCCGCGGTTTCATGCTGTTTTGCATCACTCGACTGATGTGAGCGGCTTTCCTTCCGGTTCTTATTCGAAACAGCTAGTACCGGCTGCAGGGCTGTATGGCGCAGTGTGACGGCTCGCCTGTTTCTCCCGCCACATTCCAAATGCGTGTCCGTGTCTTACAAGGTAATACGCACTGAGCACGACGCGGGTTGTCTCCTATCCCTGTTATATTTTCGCGCGCAGTTCACAGTCTAAGTGAATAAGCGTGTTATCCCTGTTATAAGAATGTATTCCCTGTTATATTTTCGCACGTAGTTCGCAGCCTTCAAGCGAAGAAGCGCGTCATAAGCGCCTCCCACCCAGCTTCAGAACACGCTGGCGTGTCACGAAGCAAGTCCTCTCCCATGTCTCAGTCCAGGTCGCGCCGTTTCACACCGCGCGTGTTGCCAACTGTGGTCTTTGAACCCCTGAGAAGTCAGGGCTCGGCCTCGTCCAGCCCCACGCAGAGACAGAGCTAACGTAAAGAGGATATTGGGAAATCGAGGAGTGCCGCCCGGTGCGACTGCGACACTGCAATGTAGAGCATGCAGAGCAAGTCATGTCTAGGTCGGCATTGGCTTCCCGGGAGGTGAAGTGCATGTGCGAACTATCTGCACGCTTTGAACTCCGGATTGGGCACCTACTCTCAGGCGGTTGCAGGCATCACGCACCGACGTCGACGTGGTTTGCGCAAACCTGCATCGCTCGAGACATGCACATATGGACGCCGAAGGGCCGCCATTTGTATCTTGTAGAAGCATATGCGTGTGTAACCAGCTGCCTTCGACGCACTCTGCACATTTTTGCAATGTACAATTAAACGTGAGGGGCGACAGCGTGGCGTTGATAAGGTAAGGCCACGGTTAACGATAATACAATTTTGCCTCGATGGGTAGCCTACCCTGACGCTGCATGGAACGATACAAACCATCACCACCATTTGGCTCGCGGACTGGGGCGAACCTATGTCCAGGTTGGGATGACCACTTGAATGGCGGGTCCAAGTTAACCCAACAAGCTATGCCCAGTGAGGACTCGTCTCAATGCCTAGTGCATACGGCATGCGGATTAGGTGCCATTGCAAACCGGAGGCCAGCATGTGACTTTTCCGAGCGGAGAATGCCAACCTGATCTGATGCGAACGCTTAAGAAGTCAGGCAAACAAAACCTCAAGCTCCCACATCGCTTCCTCCGTTTGCATACCCTTACCATTGCAGATCATTTGCCAGTCCTGTGCATTGTCGGACGAGTGATGACTTCAAAACACGTCCGCATCAGTTGCAGCGGGCCACCTCCCCCGCGGCCGACGCTCAACGCTTTGTTTACCGCCGCGCTGCAAGGTCATGAGCCGCTGACCTTGAAGACTCAGGTGCGGGCGCGGATCGTGAGCGCTTCCTGCGGCGTTCCCCGGCGTCCATCAGCCTCGGGCTGTCCGGAGGGAACTGACGGAGTGGCAGACGGTGCCGGATCGTGACTGGTCGGTTGGCCGGGTGCGCTCAACGTTCTGGGCTCACGCACGGTCTGCCCCCGACAGAATGCGCACAGCTGATCTGCACTGACACGGGAAAAGCGGTTTGGAGATATTTTAGAGGACCACTTTTGCAATAGTCCTCTAAAAACACTGTTAGTTGGACGGCGTGTGCTCGTGCTTAACGCACGGCGTTCAACACCGGTTGTAATTCTCTCGCTAGTCTTCCTGGTAGCGGTAACGAGAACAGACTCACACTGGCTTGAGCTTAGTTAGGCTCTTTGTTCGCCTCTCATGCGTTTCAGTCCAGCCTGCTCCCGAGGGTAATTGGCCATTACATGACCTCGGTGGCCGACCCCGCACCGTGAGCTAATTCC